CAATTCCAGAAGTCCAAAAACTGAATTATTTGTACTCATGCCTCAAAGGAAAACGACATTACTATACAATGAGCTCCAGTCAATTAATAGAAATGAACAAGAATGGATTGGAACTATTGAGAAAATAGAACGAGAAGCTTTAGGAGAAAGCCTCGAACATTCAAATATCGAAATTTTGATCGAGAGTAAATTACCATCATGGATATCAAATAAAATATATAGACGAAAGAAAAAGGATATGCATTGGTCAATTCTCAAATTAAGAAACTTTTTGACAAACTTAGTTAATGTGAATGAGCAGATTAGAAACTGCCAACATTCACTCTCAAATCAATATTAAACCTATAATTACCAAACCTGAGCAAGGAAAAGGATACAATCCCGGCTCTTGGCACCAAAAAATTTTGTCGCGAAAGGTTGTCTTTAATTCGTGAAATATAAAAGTTAAATGGACTTACGTTGATTGTTGTGTTCCGCTCGGAGCGTTAAAGATAGTAAAAGGTGAAATACGCTGTTGTTTATAATATAGCAGAGAAATTATTGTAATTTTTTATTCTTACAAAACAGTAATCTGATCAGTAGAAATAGAATTTATAAAATTGAAGGAAATAGAGTTTTATTATGAAGGTTATAGTCGACAATAAACTCTTGTTTATCAAGATTGCATTTATATGAGTGGGGATTGGGCGTGCCTATGATAAAATCACATGGGTGAGGATTGGGCGTGTCTATAATAAAATCACATATGTGAGGGTGTCGCCACAATGGCGAAGCTATAACGTAATGAACAAAGGCTATTGTTTTAAGTGACTTTAATCCGCTTTGTAACCTTAGCATTCAATAAAATCCCTTCCAATTTTCTTCCTTATAAAGCCATTCATTATAGTTCCTTGTTTGGTATGGCTTGATTGTGAGGTGTCTAGCTTGCTTATATCTTTAAATGTTTTATAATTAAGTTACATTTGTGTGTTATTTATCAATTCATTATTGTAATGTTGTATAATTTTTAGTGTTAATCTGTGGTTTAATTACCCAAGTTTGAGGTTTGAATAATCTATAATAAAATCACATATAAAATCACATATGTGAATTTATAAAATTGAAGGAAATAGAGTTTTATTATGAAGGTTATAGTCGACAATAAACTCTTGTTTATCAAGATTGCATTTATATGGGTGAGGATTGGGCGTGTCTATAATAAAATCACATATGTGAGGAATTTTGAAGTGTTTACAATAAGATCATACATGTAGAAGGTTAAGTGTGTATATGATAAAATCACATATGTGAGGGTGTCGCCACAATGGGAAGCTATAACGTAATGAACAAAGGCTAGTGTTTTAAGTGATTTTAATCCGCTTTGTAACCTTAGCATTCATAAAATCCCTCCCAATTTTCTTCCTTATAAAGCCATTCATTATAGTTCCTTGTTTGGTATGGCTTGATTGTGAGGTGTCTAGCTTGCTTATATCTTTAAATGTTTTATAATTAAGTTACATTTGTGTGTTATTTATCAATTCATTATTGTAATGTTGTATAATTTTTAATGTTAATCTGTGGTTTAATTACCCAAGTTTGAGGTTTGAATAATAAAGTGTTTTACGAAGACTCCCACAGTACACGTACACAGAACGGTACCAGTACAGATTCGAGAATCTATCAGTATCGAAGACAAAGAAGTCAACGATCTGAACTATCAAGAAAGAAAACCTATTTTGTTTCACATGGAAACAGGGCATTAAGAAAGAAATTCTAAATTTGCTTTTACATAGGGGTTGGGAGTGTTTACAAGGAATTTAAAATAAGAAATTATGATAGGGGCTAATTTCACATAAAATCACATGAGTAATAAATCTTAAGAAGCCAAATTTATGGAGAGATGATTTATGATGCCGTAAGATTGTTTACAATTTAAAAATGATTGATTACTTTTAAGTTTTTCTTTATATTAACCTTATTATTTTGGTTAGAATTTATAATTCGCTACACTATCACTAGCGACAACATTTTGTGCATGATCACAACAATTAGTGTTGATATTATACACTAAGCCTTCCTAACAAAAGAATAAATGTTGATTACTGTTGACGCAGAGGACAAATTTTCTTGAACAACCTTTTGACATTACCCAATGAATCCATCGCCGTATTTCCATTGTTTGAGTGCTTAGAAATTAAGGAATCAATCAATAATTATATTATTATAGCCAAAAGAAGAAAATAGGTGGTATAGTGAATGCACTTACGAATTGAATGATACGATGGTTGAGCAGTGATAGAGGTTGTTTCCAGCGATAGAGGACAATGTAGTGGAAGAGCTACTAACGAGATCAGTTCCTTTACAAGATGCAATATATTCTTTCTGGTCACAAAATCCTATTTCGAGATTGAAAACTAATGCATCCTGGCATACAATCCGGTTATGAAATGTAAAAATGCTAATGTGATCATTATGGTCCAGTTCTTTTCTCGTTAATTTCATATGTCATACTATTTCATGTTTGTTATTAATTCATTCCTGGCTTACAAACTACCTTATATCTTGCCAAGTAGATCTTACACAGGTATGCATAGACTAGACTGTTAAAGGACTTCCAAGGTCAAATGGTGTATAAGCATTGGTTAATGATAAGTTCCTGTACGTTCATGATAGTTGAATCCTTATTTATTGTTCATTAAACTTTTACCGCAAATGCAACTAGTATATGACGCAGGTCTCCGCTACCTTTGTTCAGTTATGAAATCAGTAATGAACAACAAATCATTCCATTCAATTTATGGTAATCTGGTTGGAGTATTAACAGTTCAACCAAAAATTTCAAATGATTTAATGGCAAATTAATTATAATAAAATTATTTGTGTTAAACTTTTGCAAAACGATACTTTCAAAATGGTCACAAATTTTTCGAACGACTTTAATTTCATATTTATTTCAATAGAGGCACCAGTTTCCATTTACATTATACAATTTCCTTTAGCGCTTCTTCTAGCAAAGTCACTGCCAAGCATCAAAACATGTTATAAATACCGGAAGTCGTGCGAACACGTTAAAAGAGATGTAAGATCCAAATGTTTCAAATTACCGACACTTCTATTTGAAATCAGAATTTGTTTAAATGCACAAGTTTGCTGATATAATTTTGATGAGAAATATATTGTATGAAATGATAAGATAGTTCGAATCAATTCTTAAAGATATTGCACATTATATTGGCTTACTAAAACGATGCATAAAATTTCGAGACGAATTTTTTATGTCGATGTTTCCACTAATTTCTAATTATAAAACCCTTTTTCTTTTTTAAATCATTGTCATCATTCAATTACTACTTCCATATTACGAGGAATCATATCAGTAATAATTCGTAGAAATGTGATCAAAAAAGCACTCAGAAACTATAATTTGCAACATTAATTATCCAAAAATTCTCGTCAATTTAGATAACCCAACTCTTTACAAAATGTTCACAACCAACGTTACTGCCATGACGTCCGAGGGATTTGACGTGACGATCCTCTCACCAACAATAAATGCAATATGTAAAAGGAAATGAAAGCTATACAGAAAGAATAGTAAGCTAAAAAGATTCACGAAATCATTTATTCATATTTTATGTTACAACTACCTTCGTTCACTTTAACCTTCTTTACAAAGAGTCGTAAAAAACTTCCTATTACAATAATTTATTGGAGCAAAACTGATCCGTAAACAGCTGAATCAGTTCTCTCAGGGCGAAATGACTAAATTCATTACTTCCTCATACAATCTTCCTTCAGTGCACACAGACTATACCCGAAAGGAAAAGGAAAGATACATTAGTAAGTGAAATTTGAAAGAATTTTTCATGGTGCGGAAAGTCATGATGCATTCTCTATTTTTGAGGTGCATATGACTCCAATGTGGCCTGAAAGACTAGCAGGTTTCAATAAAGTGTGCCCATGGGTAAAATGGACTCATTTGCTTTAAGGCAACTCATTCCGAGAGAAAAAATGTGACCCGGGCAAATGGAACTCATTAGCCTTGCAAAGTCACAAGTCTACAAGGAAGATACAATAAATAAGCCCACAACATGAGGATTTCGCTGCCACAATTACGCTTGCTAGGCCCGCTAGAGATAAACCACAACTTAGGATGTGGCCAGTTTCGTGTGCGATCGACCCAAAGGATATACTCGGTTTCACAAATTCAGTAGCGACAGGTGGAGGCAAAAGTAAGTAAAACTCGCATTGAGAGCTGCGTATAATTATTCTAGGAGATTATTTTTCAAAACTATTTCAATTTTTTGCTTCATCGATCGATTAAAATATGCTACTTTGGAAATACAAGTGGAAATGACATAAATCACTCTCCAATCACAATGAGTTAAGTGAAATTCCGAAATGTTCCGTGTGATCCTTCCAGTAATTCTTAAAAGCTAACCACAGCCCATAATACCTAAGATGGTCCATAAGATGTTTGGGAAATGAAGTAAGTGCAAACCGGCTAGTTCGCAACAGAAATACGGATAGACTAACACCGAATTCAGGAATACTGCCCGTTTTTAACACTGAACCACATTAAGTAGTTCGTTTTCAATTATGCGCTAAATTGCTGTGAGAAGTGCCACACCCCATTACGACGTTAAAATAGTGAGAGAACCACAATGAGTTAAATGAAACTTCGAAATGTGCTATGCGATCCTTCCAGTAATTCGTAAAGGGGATATAATGGAAGAGATTAGCAACAGCCCATAATACCTAAGATTAGCTATAAAATGTTCGAGAAATAAAATAGAGAGAAACCAAACCGGCTACTTCGCAACAGAAATTACTGAGAGATTAATACCAAATTTAGAAATGAGTTCACAAAATTTCACCGAAGGAAAAAACTGCTGGATAGAGAAATTGTAACATTATTTATCATAAACAATATTTTAGTAGCACTTACAATTTCAGGTATGCTTAAAAAGAAATGTTTAGATTTACAAAAAAGGGAAACCCATGAAACAAATAAAGGGTAACTACTGATGATTTTGTGCATCCGCTGCATTAGCTGCATCCACTGCATCCGCTGCTTCCGCTGCATTCGTTGCATTCGCTGCATCCGCTGGTGATAGTCCGCTCGGCCCCGTTTCGCCGTTAAATGCGTACAACTCATGCAGGAATTCTTCAATTTCTTCATCCGAATCACTACCATCCGACTGATTTTGCTGCATCTAAAATTAAGTTTTCGGAATAAATCTCAATTTTCCATGCAAATTCTGATTTCTAGCACTTAAATTTTTTTTTAAAATGACTTACGTTTTCCGGTGTTTCTTGGTTATTCGGTACATCCATTCTGGCGCGTTGCTCAAACTCCGATATCTTTTCTTCAAGCTCTTCGTTTTTCGCATCAATTTCAACAATGTGTTGCTGAATAGTTTCAAGCAAGGACGGTATTGAGTTAAAACCGAAGTTTTCGAATGCCATCTTAAACTGAAGAAGCCATCACGTCTTTCTTTCATAATTCTTCCAAATTAATTCCAAGAAGAAATTTGTTACTTTCTTAAGTTACAAATACCACTAATACTTCTTCAGAAAATAAATCAAACAACGATGTTATCCTCTAGAATTGTCCAGCAAAGCAGTTGCTAAGGAATGTGTTGTCAAATTTGATAAGTTCGGAAAAGAATGAGTGGAACTTAGTCTAAGTTGGATTTAGGCGGCGATACATAAAGGACTACTCAATCACATGAAAAGATGAAAATTTGATGTAAAGCGATATAAACCACAGAAAAGCTCTCTTAGACTTCAACCATTTCTACCCAGATCTAATGAACAACCAGATGGCGGGCAAATTTTGAACTCTCTATTCTCAATAAATCCCAGTTCATCTCCCCTTTTCACTTCCTCAATAAATACTTTTATTTACACGCAAACCATTTACTTGACAACTCGAAACCCACGTGATATGAAACAAAAGAAAGACAATTCGAAAAGACACCCACCTCACTCACCGAGAAAATAATGAAGTGAATGACTACTGGAGCTTGTTATATACTATTCTAAGAAGACGGAACATATGCAAATTTTCATTGAGTAATCTGTTTTGTTTCCTAATTTGATTGTTACCCGAATACTTGCCCACCCCCTTTGTGGCTTTTCCTGCCCAAAAGATTTTCTTGTATTTACCGGGATGAAATGACCTGTCGGAGTGTGTGCACGTATTTTAGCATTAATATTGGCAGAATGATTCGTTCGCTCGCTAATTTCTTCACATGAGTTCTCAAATGAGACTTTTTTAATTGATCATTAATATGAAATTAAATAGATGGCACATATAAAGAAGAAAAGTAATTTGCTGAGGTAAGAAAGAAGTCTTGAAAAAGTCAAAATTTGCATATGTTCCAGAAGTTTCTCCCTGACTATTTCCGCAGCTTCATGGAGTACTGTATAAAAAGGCTCTCACAGTTGTTCTTTTCATCTCAGTTATTTTTGCTGCGCTCGAACTCTCTCTCCAAGGCGCTTTTCGTTTCGTACCGCGTGGTCTCAGGGTGTTTAGGGGTTATAGAGCTTCAAGATGTTACAAGAAATAGTCGGACGCTTATGCTACACACAAACATACATTTACCCACGTACATGCCATGCCCAAACTGAACACATGCACACACACACACATACACTTACCCACGTACATGCCATGCCCAAACTGAACACATGCACACACACACACATACACTTACCCACGTATATGCCCACACACACACACACACATCTCATTCATTTTGAAACTTCTAGACAATATAGAGATAATATTCCATTTGATTCACTTCCTAAGCATTAATTATTGGCGGCATTTGTAACCGGAAAAAGTAGCCAGCTTATGGGATCAAATTGTGAGAGTTATAAGAAGTAATTTAATGATATTTATTTAGAATGGCATCTGAAAACAATACGGGGAGCAATCGCGACGATCAGAATGCTACACAAATTCAACCAATGAAGAAATGGAAATCCGTTTCCGACATTTATGAACCAAGAAGACTCACAGTAACTCTCAGTGAAGGTTAATTTACAATTATGTTTTCTTTACCTTCAACTGAAGTGTGATAACTTTTCTCATTTTACCCATAATTGTTCTTAAGTACTGCTTCATTTGCTGAAAAATTTAGGCACACTATCGCTTCCGCATCGCCTTGTTTGCAACGAAACTATCGGAGTTTTGGAGGAGAACGAAAAACTTAAGGCAGAATTATTTAACTTGAAGATACAACTGCTGTTGGTTAGAAAAAAATACCCATTAATGCTGGACGGAAACGGAAAAAATATGACCAAAAAAGTAATTCATACTGATTTGCTACCCATTCCTGATTATTTGCTGTTTTGAAGGAAGAGGAAGACGGAAAAGCAGGCTTATTAAAGTTGTCTTGAAAGCTGTTGATACTACTTTTTTAAAAAAAAACGTTACTTTTTTTCAAGTGCATTTAATATTGAAGCATTTTGTAAAGAAGAAAAAAACCAGTCCATAATTTTCTCTTTGATATTTCAGTATATAGATGCAATGATCGAACTGAACAATGCGAGAAATGAACGAATCAGACTGGAAAAAATGTGTTACGCACATGAGAAAAAGCTCAATGAACAAAGACGGAAAATGCGACGTGAACGAATCATTCACAAGAAGGAACGCAGAAATCTACTTAAGCAAAAGAGAATACTTAAATCGAAACTGAAAAATACCCTCCAGAAATTAGATGACAAATATGATAAGCACATGTCGCCGATACCGAACAAGGACACGTAGGTTCAAAAACTAAAGTAGCCTTATCATTTATTGCTATTTGCTAAGGTCCATTTGAACTTTTTTTCTTACATCAAAAAGCTGTAGTTGGCGTTCACTAATTATTCCAAATATTACAGAAAAACCGAAGAATTGAAATTGCGATTGTCGCTTACTAATCTTATTTTGGAGGAGGGGAATCTAACACCCTGTGAGATAACTGAACAAACTGGGAAAGACGAAGATGAGCAAGAAGAAGGATCATAAAGAATCAGGTTTAATTTCTTTTATCAGTGCGATATCATTGTCCTGAAATGCGCAAAATTTAATTAAATATAAAGTAAATTACAGAAGAGTATTTGAATTGATTTTAAAATGAGCCAAATGCTATCATAAAGATTTTATATACAGAGTAAGATATTGAAATTGTCATTAGACGGGATGTTACAATTTCTCTTACCATAGTACTTTCACAATTTTCCGCATTTAAAGAACAGAGAAGTATTTATGAAATGAACAATGATATTTTCAAATTCATAATGCTGTGTTCTTCCTTGCTTAATAAAATTATATAAATGATATTGTCAAAGTGATGAAGACTGCATCGTTTATTTCTGATCAAATATGTTGCTGTCGTATGATTGCTACTTTTGCTATTGTCACTTCTACCATCGGAAATGATCGAAATTCTGCTTGAAGTATTGCTTCATCACAGCAAATATCACCGCTGACAATGTTTGCGGTATAGGAAACAATGAAGTGAGCGGAATCTTCGTGGATCATCTTCCACAATGTATTCTTCCGGTACGCGGACAACATTCTTCACTATTCTCGGTCGTCCACCGGCACTGAAGCTAATCTGAAAGAGTTTCTCATGCTGCTACAACGCAATCTGGAACGTTATCATTCGGACATCTACACATATGTCCTCTGCTGACATTCGCCGTGGAAGATGAGCTTGCACGGCTCCAATATGGCCTGAAAGGAAAAATTTGACTCGGGCAGATGGAACTCATTAGCCTTGCAAAGCCATAAGTCTACCAGATACAAGAAACAAGTCTATAACATGAATATTTCGCTACCTTTAAGCTTGCTAGTTCTAGAAAACCACAAGTTGTCAGATGGACAAACAAAAGGACGAACGTTAGGCCTAGTCTAAAAAAGTCTTTGCAAACACCCGAAGGTTATACCCTGTTTCATAAAGATGAGAGAAAAAACTAGGTGAAACTCGCATTCGAAGCTACATGACAGTTTTGTTCAGGAAAATCCTGCATGACTAAGCAGCTTTCTTCAAAAACAGCATTGTTTTCTCCGTATGGAGAGGAGCCTAGAGAAGATAGCCTAGCCAAGACTCATCTCCACGTTCTAGACTTAAACATACGACTAGCCAAACAACACTCATTTGTAGTCAGTGATGTATTTTTTAAGTATCATCGCATCTCAACGGCAGACATGAAATTCAGTCCATTATCTGACTTGAAAAAGGGAAGAACACTTAGCATGTAAGCCTACATCGACAGGTTCCTGAAATTTTCCCTTGACCACCACCACCTTCGAGAACTCATTATATAAGAAAGTTCCAGCAGTCATTTTCTCTAGTCGCGTCGTTCCACTATCCAACAGAAACATACACGCACACACGTAAGCAAGTATACGCATATACACGTGCACTTGTACACACGTATGTATATAAATTACTGAAAAATACGAGAAAAAAACCAAATATAAAAAAGTTTTTTGTACATATTCCAGAGAATGGTATGGAAATATCTTATTTTTCCTATTTATAAAATAGATTAACCACAAATGAAAGTAATAAATTCAAGTAAAAACAACAATTTCTGTAAATTAATACATTCCTTTCAACTTATGTTCCTGTCGATATTAAATGATAAATAAGAAAAGTAAAAACTAACATTTACATTTCACTTTCCTCTTCGTATGTTCTATCTGTTCCATTCTGATTCTTACATCACTTGGAATTTAATTTTACTGCTATTCATTGCATTCAGTAAACAGTTAATAAATTTTCTATGCTCTTTTTGATAAAAAAAGATAGGCCTATCACTTTTGATCAATGCTGATAGTCACATTCTCAGTTCAGATTTGCTTATCTTATTGATTCGTTGAATAAAATTTTGCAAAAGTTTACAGCAATATATCATTTGTGATAGAGCAGCTAAAGATGAACGTAATACTTCCACTGAAATCTGCTAAAAATCCGATTTTTTTTGTATCATTTAGTAGCATTATTTCGCAGACAAGAGCGCTTTTTATAATCGTAAGAATTAAATATGCTTTCGAGTAAACAACAACAAAACTTTATCAGAAAAAAGAACAAACGAGTTCGAAAAAAATTGACTCCTGGTCGTATAGCGAGCAGTTTTTTGCGTAAACAATAATGACACCGATAAAAAAAACACCAAGAAAACAAAAAAAAAAAAAATGTTTTTTTCACAATTTTTTAATGATATAATAAATAAAAGGCACAAAATACTTCATAAACAATAAACATACTAATAAAGAACACCAACAAAACAAAAAAAAAAAAGAAAGACTGTTTACAACTTTTTCTTTTATAATAAAATAAATAAAAGAAGTTAGAAATGAACAATAAACATAAAACACTGCTAGAGAAAAATATTTTTCATATAGAAAAACGAATAAACGTTCCACATAGCTAATGCAATTACCTTTCATTTTCCTCACTCTATAAATGTTCAATTGTTTCATGTTTAGCTCAAAATCTTCATATTTACTCATCCTATCGTTTCGTTTTTATTTAAATATCTCCCACACTTCTAATCACACTAACTTCTTCCACACTTTTCCTAGTCATTAACATTCAACATCGATGGATAACAAGCCAAGAAGTGAAATTAAGAAAAATTTTTTTTTCATTATGAGCATTCCTACAGTATGAATGTTGATCGACGCTGATTTGATAATAGAGCACAAATATCCGTTTGTTATCGATCACGTGATTGTGAGATTAACAGCTCCCAACAATTCACACAATGCACACTTAAGAGTAAAAACCTAAAGCCAAAGTCGAAGTGGACCAAAAAGTATGAAAAACACAAAATGTAAATTAAAAAGAAGAATTAAAGTTTTGCAGTGAATCCTCTTTAACCTTGATTATTTTTCAGTTTTTACAAGTGTTTCTTTTTAGAATTTTAATTAGGATATCAGTGTAATTTTTCAAATATTCAAAGGTGTTTTCATTAATTTTTATTTTTTCTAGGAGTCCTTTTTGAATTTCTTGAGTTCCAGTTTTATTTTTAACTGTCCAGCTTTTTGCAAGCATATGTTTAAAAGTTTTTCCATTTTGATGTTTGATAAGTTAAATGTAAAAATTTAATTTCCTATGATTTATAGTATTAATAGTATTTTTTAATGATGAAACTCTTCCTGCTGCTTTTTTTTCTGAAGGATAAATTTGATAAAATAATGAACTTAAAAACTTAGTACTTTATCATTCTTACTGGAAAGCCAAATTGTTGAATACTGGAGCTGATTTGTCCTACTATAGCAATGTATTCCAAATACTAAAATACATGAACCACAAAACAATATTTGCACTAAAATAGATGAAAAACAAAAAAAGGAAAAAAAATTGCTATGAAAAAGATAAAAAATACAGTACGTAGATAGTGAACCTAAACAGAGGAAAACAAAACCGAATCTCATCCATTAAATTTTTTTGACCTTCGAGAGAAAAAACCAACTGTCCATAGACATAATATAAGATGTTACATAAAATTAATTTAACAATTCACTAATGCAACTCTCACAAGTGCGATTCCTTGTTAAAAACAGAAATAGCTGCTCCTTTGCTGATGAATCATAAATTTGATGAAATAATGTAAGTCAAAGAAAATTGAAAGAAACCAAATACAATTAGTGAAAATACTATAAACAAACAGAAAAATTGCTATAAAATAAAACTGCTTGATATTTCTTATACAAAGAAACACAGTTAAAACACAACGAAACGAAATTTTAGTAACTGCAATTAATAATTATAATTCATGAGTAATAATTATTTAAAAAATCTTTTTGAAATTTAAAAACAATTGCATAATAAATCGTCAAAAACAGACATAAACAAAAAAAAAAACAATAAACAATTAATGCAAATATCTAGTGAAACAAAATATATATCAATATTCTTCACTTTCACTCAAAAACTTGCTTGAATCAAAATATCTAACGTACGAATATAATCAGTGATGAGGTTTATACACGAAAAAGAAATTAATAACTCATCACATATTACTCATGAATTATAATTATTAATCGCAATTGCTAAACATGCATAAACTTTCTTAACATGTATAAATTCCTTGCCCAATAACTAATTTTTTTGTCTTTCTAATTTCTTTCTAATATGTAATTATTTTAAATTGTCATTTGTGCCAACTTCATTATTTTTTACTTTTCAAATTATTGTGTCCAAAGCTTTATTGGATCACTATACTAGCTTCATTCATCACTCAGTTTCGATTTTTTTCCTCAGCGATAAATAATTTTACTACGATTTTTAGCACTGTAGATTATTTTCTGTTTTTGTTTTTAATGAGCTTTGTGTTTTGTATTCCGATTCACCTTTCTCTACCTATTGTTTCATTTCAACTATTGCATATATTTATGATAACCTCACTTATTCAATTTTCAATGCATTTAATTCAATTTATTTCATCATTCATTACAACTTATAATTTGTGCATATGTTTTTCACACGTTGAGTTTTACATCCATTTCGAGTTCTTCACTTTTATGCATTTTATAATTACCTTCTAGTTTGGTTTTTTCCTTAACTGAAGATATTTCTTCCCCACAAATTTTATGTTTATACATTACATACACTACTAGTAATTTCATATGCTCATTCACTTTTTTTTTTGTATTATTTTTCTTTCACTTCATATTTCTCAAATTACTTTTATATGTCTTTTCTTAATGTCTCGTTTTTCATGCTTACTAACTGCATGTATTTTTGCTAACTCATGTGTATTTCATATTTTGCTTTTTATGTCTTCTTTCTATTCTGCAAACAGTTTTGCATGGTTCGTAGACATTCTATTTATACATATTTTATTACTGACTTTATTTTTCATGTTCTTTTTCCTCAACTCTATGATTCTCCGTAGTTGCTTTTGCATGGTTTTTCTAATATTGCATTTTTTTATTAACTGCATATCTTTTATGTTATATTTACTGTATTTTATGCTATTCATTTCAAATTCATTGCATTTTTTCTTAAA